AAACTGCTAGGAGCTGAAGCAAGTAATGGGAGCTCACCCCATTACGCGACACTTGGATCTCAAATGAATTTAGAAAAATTGCTTGAAAGGGTCAGTACCTTCTCACTCCGGATCTTTCCACTTCTTACTTCCAGGTAAGAGGGGAAAAAACAGGGGATATTTCACTGACTTTCACTGCAGAACACTTCTGTCAAAGTATTAACTTTTTGAGTATATATTCACTCTATTCTTGGAAGGGTCAACAGTCCATTCTAAACCTGGCATTTTTCTGAAGTTACAACTATAAGCCAATCAAGCTGCCTTCATGATCAGCACCTGCACAGGTTTCTTTTTAATTATTATCTTAGTTCAATCCCAGAGAGAGAAAATACCAAGATTCAGAGTGGCAACACTACCTACTAGATGGGCCAACTATTTAAAAAATTCTCTGGCCACAGCACACAAATGAGAAAGACCCTTAATGCATTTCTTTAGTTAAGCTGGAATGTTTTGCAAGGCATCCTAGCAATTTTCAAATCAAAATATGTATCTATTTTTGATGTTGCTTGACAAGCTCAACCAAAGTTTTCTTATCTTGATGGAAGATGATAAAAAGCCAGGTTTGAATATTAGGCAGAATTTTGTGGCTGGACTCATGCTTTCCATAAGCCTAAAGTGCTTTTCTGGGCTTTGGCTTAGCTTGCTGTAAAAGTTGTGATTTATAAAGACTATCTTATTGATTAGCATGTTGGGCAAACTCAGCCTGCTGCAGCCTATAAATCATGGTTATAAAGCCCATGATTTAGTTTTCTCAACAAGCAACATTACCTGGCCAACTCTGTCTTACCTTCTCAATTAATCAGGAGAGGCCCAGTTCGTAAAAAAGAGACCAGCAGAAAATTCCAGACTGTGGGAAAATGGAAGGAAAAATTGGAAGCCAATGGCAGATCGCTTTCATCCCGTTGCTATGAAAATTGCAAACGAGCTCAACTTGACCATTAATAAAACCAGTTGCCATTAAACTCATTCATAATGCTGTCACATTTCACGTAAAACCCAGTCAAATTTCAAAGGATTTAAAAGCATCCTAATCAAAGTATCCTAATCAAAGTCACTTAATTTATTTCAGCCAGCATCAGCTTTATCTGCTGAGATGTATAACTTCAAGGAAAATTAATTAGTCTGCTCCTGCAGATGGTTTTTTTTTAATAGAACTTGGAAAGATTAAGCTAAAGCACGTCAAATGTTCTTGAACACACTGTAAAAAAGGTAGTGGGCTTATTAAAGGAAGGGATAGGGTAGGAGGGAACAGATGGAAGGGGGGGAAAAGTGGGGCACTCAGCACTTTCTCTATACTACATTTTATTGCAATTAACTTGCTAAACTCAGTTGTTCCTCTTCTCCCTTTTTGCCAATTGAATATGCAAAACAGATTTCACAGAAAATCCAAACATTCTGACTCCATCCAGGTTATTGAGAAACAGATTCTGCTTCCTCTAAAATCTGTTCAGATTTAAATTCAGAAAAGAACAGATAAGGCTGCAGACTAACATGAGGCAGATTTTTAAAGAGACAGAACAAGAAAGTGAATCTACTTTTTTTTTTTAACCTGAACAGCCATTAATGGTTGATTTTGCCAGGCTGCCAGACCAGAAGACTACTTGCTAAATATTTGAGCTCCTGTCTTGCACAGAGATCAAGCTAAGATTAATTACTCAGGAAAGTGAAGATCAAGTATCACAGGAAACTGAGAGGCAAGTAAGTACCTGATTTATTCATGTGCACCTCAACAACAACAAAAAAGACATTTCAGAGCTGTGGCTGATTCCAAAAATGAGAATTGTCTTGCTGGAATGCTCCAAACAAGTAGCCAGCTATTTTGGCATCGCAATACACAGCAATGTTTACCCTCCACTTCAGGTAATTAGAGATATACTGCCCCTGTCCATTGAGGCTCCACTGCTGGTGTGTCTATTAGCAATTAAGAGAAATTTAGTGCACTGAGTCATATTCTGCCCATTTTTTAAAAGAAACATTAAAACTTCTATCCGATGAAAACTGGGATGGTTCATACCGAAATATTCTATAAAATAAGTTCTTTTACTTTTCACCCCATTAAAAATCTTAATAAATAACACGTTTGTATATAAGATCAGATATAATGTGCTTCTAAGGATTCTGGAAGTCACGCTTCCAGACATTATCAGATTTCATAAATAGTCAAGGCTGGAAAAGGCTTCAACAGAAGATGGAAAAAGGCAGAGAAAGAAAAGGATGTAAGCTCCTGCAGGTATTTTTCTCTCATCTTGCACCCCAAAATACAGCCGAATCAACTAATTTCTTTATGAAAACTTGCATGTAGTGCGATGAACATAACGACTGGACAACCTAGAACTACTGCATGTGAACCAAACTTTTCTCACAATTCAATGCCATTCTATGACCATATGGCAATGTGGCAGCTGTTTTTGTGCAAGATGCTATTTTATTAGTTGGCTGTTAAACAGAAAAGTAGTCTACTGTGAAGCAATGCAGTGGTCCCCTCACAACCTTCATTTGCAAAAAGGACAACTGGCTTCACGTAGCCCAATGGAAAACTGCTGGATGACAAAGCTGTCTGTACAAGAGTGTCCACATGTTTTCATAAAAAAAACAAATAGGTCACCTCAGGTAGTTAAAATATATATTTGATGATCGGCATCTTAGGGAAGAGGTAGCCCTAACACAGCCTTACCTCCTATTAGAACCACCTTGTGCGTGGATGGTCTCCTCGCAGGCAGCCATTTTGTGAAGGCAGCCACGTCGGATGCTCAGATTTTCGATACCTTCCTTGGCTGAAAAGAGAAGGCTCAAGGAAGCACACATCTTCCATCCTGAAAGCTAATCATCCATTTGTCAAGCATTTCTAGTAAAGAAAAGAAGGTAGATCAAGCCCAACTGCTGGTGAATTCCTGAATCCATCCATGTTTTCTTACAAAAACATTGTGGACTTGTGCAGAGTCACCAGAAGTCAAGACTGATCTGAAGGCACAGACGGACAGAGAGAAATAGTCTACCACTGTCTTCTTCTAGGATTTGTCAAATTCCCCACCTACATGGATTTCCCATCTAAGCCTTAACCAAATTTAACCACACTTAGTGTTTTCTTCACAGCAAGCAAAGTTGACCAGGAACATCTCCCCACTGTGATATACTGACTCAACTGTTTGACTGGAAACAGGAAGACTCAAGCTTAAATTCTCCCAAAATTTTGGAAAACCTGCCAAGTCATTGTCTCTGGGTCCAACCTATACCTAGAAGATAGCAATACGTTACCCAGAAGTCCCAGAGGAAAGTTGGGGGAAAAATTAAGAAATACTTTAAAGTGACAGCTCATTTGCAAGGACCGCAATCTAAGTTTTAGACATTTCAATAATTCTGATATGAAATATAGTTCTGATTTAGTGAGCCTCTAAACAAGTCTTGATGTATACTGCTTTAGAATGATATGTACATATATAATTGAAGTTCCCTATTTCCTTACAGTGGGTTTCTTTAACTCAGGGATCTTAACTCTGAAAACACAGCTGTGATCAGCATTTAAACTTAACTAATTAGTTTCAAACAGTTTAATTATCACTAAAATCCTTCTGTGGCCTTCCTTGCAAATCTGTTGTGTCAGCAGCTTCAGATTTTTTTAAAAAAACCTCATTTGTGAGCTATTTTTAAAAAGGAGAATAGCAAACAAGTGCACAATCCTGTTCACGCCAAGAAAATCAAGTTTGGGATGTCAAGAGAGTTCACACGAACATGTTCTTGCAGCATCTCTGGTGTAACCCTAGCTAGTTTCTAAATTGCAGTGCAGCCTAGTAATGGGCAGGTTAGAAAGCTGGTTAATATAGTCTGGCAATAAAGCACTCTACTTAATATGCAATATCTATCTGCTATCCAAAGTAACTCTGCCGAATTAATTTCAAACAGAAATAAGAGAGTCACAGAATGGAAAAACCACAGGAAATGTTTATATCACTGGAAGTAGCCGTCAACATGGAAAAACATATGTAAAGGGCTTGAAGTTGGAGCAATTCCACACCTCATGTTGACTGAGGTTACAGCTTTTGTAGGAAAGAAAAATAAATGAGACAGTGAAGACAGTCATCTTTTGGATAGATCAACAGATCCACTTCCGCAAAGGTGCTGAACATCTGAGATAAGATAACTGCCTCTGCAAAATGCATGACTGCCCATTTTAGCAGATACCCAGAATTGTCTTTCAGGCCATACTCAAATCAGGGTAAAAATGGAAAACGTTGAATTCTGAGATAAATGGGAAGAGTTTCAGGAGCGAGGAAGTATAAAGGAGCCTTGGCTTTCCAATCCAAATACTCAATGAGACACACCGAGCCTCAATGAGCAACTCCAGTTAAAAGCAAGGAAAGATACAGGAGATTAGACTGTGATTCAGAGCCATTTTATTTAAAAGAAATTAATGGGGCGTGCACTTGGTCTGAGGCATGAATACGAATCCCTGAACATTTAAGAAAACTCACAGCGCAATCCTGCACACCTTTTGCTCAACAGTGACTCTGTGTCCTTGGCCGCCTCTTTAAAATAAAAAAATAACAAATCAGGTATCACAGGTGAAATCCCCAATCCATGGAGATGGGCAGGAAGCCACCTAGTTCTGTGCTGCAGCAAATAAACTGAAATAGTATGTCCACCTACCTACCTACCCGCCCCCCCAAACAACAAACTTGCAATGTTGCACCTGCTTTTTTTTTCAGCTCACAATAGAACAATTGTACCCAAGGGGGGGTCAAATAAATAAATAAATAACTGCATATCAAACAGGCCCATGAAGGATTTAGCTGGATCATTTTTGTTTTTCTCAAAAAAGAAGACAAAACGGAAGCAAGGAAGGGAGTGAGATGGAGAACTGCCTGGAACATTTGCAAGGCATTAATCAGTCACTGCTACCCCAGCCACGTGTGCAAATGAGAAGGAAAGCAATGAGAGAGAGGAGGCCAAGTGCTTTGACTTACTTTTCATACTCGGCGTTGTCCCTGTCACACCGAGAATCCTTGTGCTTCTGCCAATCTTTGCCATGCTTGCAGGTAGTCAACAGGACAACATCTTCCCCATTATGGACATGATATAAGGCATTCCTGGTGTCTGATCCTATCCCAGTTAGGTACCTTTTCCCCTTGAACACCAACATATATTTCCTCAGAGGGGGGATGGTGTTAAACCTCAAGAAGCCTCTCTCTCCTCCTGTCCTTGGGTGATCCTTAGAAAAAAGAGGGATGGAGACGTCAAACTTCGGCCGGAAGTTTTCCATACTGATGCTGGCTTTGGCCAACATGGCCTGGCCAATGTCGAAACCCACGTCCTCGGTGTAGTCAGGCCAGGTGCCGGAATATAAGTTAAAAACTAAATGATTCCTCCCGTTGTTCCACAAATGGAGGCTCTGCACTTTGGAGCGCAGGTTGTGCACGTACTGAGGGGAAAGCTGGTCTCGGTCTAAGGTGTCCAAGCCGAGGACGAAGAGGCAAGCTTGGCTGGGGTCCGAAGTATAAAAGCGGGAGCCTTCGATGGCGGCCAGGATGTTTTGGTAACTCTCGGCGATTTTCTCCCCTTTCTGTTGCGGGTAGACGTAGACCTTGAAGCCGTTTTTTTTGCAAAGGGCGAAGTCGAAGCAGGACTCCATGCGGCACTTCTTGCCCTTGTAGACGCCGGCGTTGGCGTCGCGCTTCTGGCGAGGGGAAGAGTGCCGGTTGTAATCCTCGCTCTCCAGCTGATCCCAAGGCAGGAAAGGGCGCAGGGCGTCTGGGAACCGGGGCCAGTAGCGTTCGGGGCGCTGCAAGCCATTCTTGCCGCTGCTGCTGCTGCTGCTACTGCGCGCCTCTCGCCTGCTTTGGCTTCTGGATGCTCTGAACTGCAAGCCGCCGAAGTAGAAGAGAAGGACGACGAAAGTGCCAGCCGAAAGGAGGGTGAAGTAGCGTTTTTTGGCCTGCATGTGTCCTATCTGGGTCAAGAGGCTCGTCGAGGATGAACACAAAGCTCGCCCAACTTTGCCAAGTGACACTTTCAGCTTGAGTCCGCCATTTTCCCGCCTGCCAAGACTTTAAACTCTCTTCTCCCACCTTCTCGGATTTCCTTTCCCAAAGGCTCAGGCTGATGCAGCGCATGTGGGCGATTTCGTTAACTTTCTCCCCTCGGGTCTTTCATCTTCGGGCTCACCCTGGGGAGGAAGGGGTGGTGGTGGTGATGGTTGGGGAGAGGAGGGACGAAGAAGGACAGAGGGAAGGAGCGGAGGGGATGCGGGGGGGGGGGGGGGGAAAAAGGCAAGGAGAAGAAGGGAGAGAAAGAAGGCAAGCGCCAGAAAACCGGGGCAAAAAAAAAGAAGAAGAAGAAGAAGAAGGGAAGCCCGCCCAGCGTGGCTTTCCCCAAAGGAAAAAAGAAAAAGAAAAAGAAAGAGGCTGGGAATTGGCTCGCAAGGCAAAGAGGAGGAAAAGAAGACAAAGACAGCGGCGGCTCTGAACCTAAAAAGAAAGAGAGAGAAAGAGAAGCCGACGAGTCCCGGGCTCCGGCTGTCCAATCTGCGGGTTGCCAGACCGAGAAATCCGTCCCGCCCTCTCCTCTCTCTCTCTCTCTCTCTCTCTCTCGCCTGCACACGCGTTACACACCCCACACACAAACACACGCACAAGGGGACGGGGAGGGCTCGAAGTGGTTTAAGAGAGCGAGCAGCAACTTCAACTCGGGCAAAACATCCACAAAAACACAAAACCAACCAACCACCAACGGGGGGCGGGGGAGAAGGAGACAGCCGAGCCGAGCCAAAGAAAGCCAAGCCAGCCGGTCCGTCCGCTTCTAAAGCCCGGCGCCCGGCTTTTCCAAGAAGTCGGCAGGCGAAGAGTCTGTGGATGCGGGGGCTTGCCTGGTCTCGCTGAGACAGAGCAACCGCCGGGATTTACATCTTCCGGCCCCAGCACCGTAACCTTACGAATCCCTGCATGTCTCTCGCTCTTCTTCTTCTCCTCCTCTCTCTTTTCTTTCTTTCTTTCTTTCGGTGCGTTCAGCACCGGCTGCAAAGCATGACGAGCCGGGGCTTCCGCACGCTTTCCTGAGATTCGCGCTGCCTCTATGGCCCCCGGGGATGGAAGCGAACGAAAAGATCCTCCTCCTCCTCCTCCTCCTCCTTCCTTCCTTCTTCGCCGCCGCGGCTGCCGCTCCTGCCGCCGCCGCCGCCGCCGCCTCCTCCTCCTCCTCTTCCACCGCCTCCTTTTAGCCCCCGCCCCTCTCAGCCATTCATTTCAGTGAGCGGCGGCGATCCACGCAAGCCCGGGAAACAGCCGAGCCCGGGTTGGGGGGAGGGAGGGCAGAAAGAAGAGGAGGAGGTGGGGGGGGAAGGAGGGAGGGAGGGAGGAGGACGCCGCCCGCTCCTGGCTGGCGACGTTGCCCGATGGCGGCGGCGGCGTTCGATCTCCGAACGTTGCCCCGGTTCCGAATGTTAACACTTCCAACATTCCATTCCCCGACACCACGGCGCTGACCTCATCCATCCACGCAGCCCGCCGGCCGATTGGCTGGGCGTCACGTCCGGAGGGGGCGGTGCTTCCGCTGCACCCATTCATAACCCGCCGGGCCTTGCGGGGCGGGCGGTGAGTGAGAGAGAGAGAGAGAGATGGTTTTGCAGTGTCTTGAACGAGCGAAGGGAGCGCATCTCTTTGAGAGAAGGAGGGGGGAACCCCGACCCCACCTACCCCAGCGGGGAGGTCGCGTGGGAGCGAGGGGCTCCCTGCCTTCCCCCCCCCCCCCGCCGTGGGAAAGCCAGTCGCGCGCCCCTTCTGGCGCTGAGCGGGTCGTTGGAGTTAAGCAGCACGTCTGAACGAGGGACCCCGAGAGTTTAAATCTCCCTTCCCCACCCCACCTTCCAACAAAAGGAACTCCGGGGTTTTCGTGTCGGTGCCGGGTCCGGATCCGGTGGCCGGTGGAAGGATCTGTGGGAAAAGGCTTCCACTGGTTTGCTTTTAAGGGCAAACGCCAGGGGAGATGCGGGCGCCAACGATGTTTGGGGAAGCCCGGTTGGAAGGCAAACACTTCCACTGCTCCGGGCACGTTTGCAATGCAAGGGAAATGTCGTTTTGAATGTATGCCGGTTAGTGTCCATTCAAAGGGACCAATGTCTGTGGAGATATTCGGACATCCAGGTCATGGTGTGGTCCCAAAGGTGCTTTTTTTGTTTTGTTTTTCATGAGGCAACTGGACTTTGGGACATTCAAAGGGACAATCAAAGCGATTCTAGGTTTTTAGGGAGGAGGCTCCGGCTGCGGAGTTTTCTCCCCTCCGTCCGATGAAGGAATGGGAGCCCTAGACCCCGCAAAATTTTGAGGCTGTGAGCTCCCGGCCACTTTTGTAATCCGTGAGGGAAAGGCCCAGATCGGCATCTACCAACACCCTGAAAGGAGGAGGGGTAAGGAAAGGAAGTAGCATCTCAACCGAGTTACTTCGAAGTAGAGCAGGTTTGCAAGCGCAGACCCGGCTCCTGTCAATCACTTTTGCTGCTCTGGAGAGTAGCACTGGTTGCTGCTCCTGGAGTTAAGCAATTTTGGGAACCCCACTTTTACCTTCCCTCACCTTCCTTTTTTCTTGCACTGTGTTGTTAGCGTTGAGGAAGGCACCACGATTTTAAGCAAGACCAGCTTAAGGGTCGGAGGACGTATCATGGAAGAGCAGGGAGATGCTAACCCAGGAGTCCCCAAACTTGGCAACTTTAAGACTCTCTGCTGGATGGAGAATTCTGGGAGTTGAAGTCCACAATTCTTACAAGTTGCCAAGTTTGGAGACCTCTGTGCTAACCTGTTCAACTTTTGGGAGACAGGAGAAAGAGAAGTGAAAGTACTTCTACCTAGCTTTCTGGAGAGCCAGGTTTGTGTCAATGCCCTCTAGAGCAGGCTGATGGCATTGCCGCCTGGTAAATCTAGAATCATAACTTTTTAGACGCACAAAGTTGGGAAGACTTCAGGCTAAGACAATCGTCCTTCCCCTTTAAAAAAAAAAAAACAGGCCTGTTAAAGTGCAACGAATACAAAACACAAAAATTTAAAAAAATACAGGTAGTCCTCAACCACACAATTGAGCCCAAAATTTAGGTTGTGAAGTGAGAAATCTGTGAATTGAATTTTGCCCCGTTTTACGACTTTTCTTGCCACATTTGTGAGGTGAATCTGGTTCCCTATTGACTTTGTCAGAAGGTCGCAGAAGGGAATCACGTGACCAGGACATGGCAACCGTTATAAAGGTAAGTCAGTTGTGAAGCATCCAAATATAAATCACGTGACCATGGGGATGCTACAACAGTCATAAGTCCCTTTTTAAAGTGTCGTAACTTTGAACGGTCACTAAACAAGCTGCTGTAAGTCGGGGGCTACCTGTATTCTAACTCTGGAATGTTTTCCTCTCGTATATTAAGGCACATTCTGATTTAACTTTTAAAATGTTTGTTAGTGGAACCAATTCACCCAATAGGTACTATTTTCTTTTTCATTGGATAGGTTGAAGCAAAGATTTTGAGGATGCTTCAGTTTGCATACCTGAACAAAGCAAAGCATTGGGTTGAAATGTCTTTAAAGGCCCCCTTCTCAATTATTTTAATCTACTCTATTTTTTTCCCTTTAAGCATTTCTCCTTTACAGGTGGAAATAGTTTGTGCTTTAATAATTGGACAACAACAAAAAATGAAGGTTTGCAAGCCATGCAGATAACTTACTTTCTGTCTTCTCTTGATAAAGTGTAAATTTAATTACAAAACATAGAATAGAATTCTTTATTGGCCAAGTGTGATTGGACACACAAGGAATTTGTTTTGGTGTATATGCTCTAAAATACATATGTCAAGAATCAGAAGTATAACACTTAAAAGTAGTCATAGGGCACTATAAATCATACTAGGGAACATACTAATAAGCTAGGACCTATCAAATCATACTAGTAAATAGTCAATAAAATAATAAAAAAAATGTAAGGATACAAGCAACAAAGTCACAGTCATAAGTGGGAGGAGATGGGTGAAAGGAAGGATAAGAAGATTGATAGTAATAGTAATGCAGATTTTGTAAATAGTTGGACAGTGTTGAGGGAATTATTTGTTTAGCAAAGTGATGGCGTTCGGGGAAAAACTCCTTGTTTCTCGTTCTGGTGTACAGTGCTCTATGCCGTCATTTTGAAAGTAGGAGTTGAAACAGTTTATGTCCAGGATGTGAGGGGTCTACATATATTCACAGCAAAGAAAATAGGCCAATGATTATTGATACTCACCCCAAAGTATTAAGGGAATATATCTGAATACAACACTGTCTCCCCTCTCAAAATTCCTGTTGTGTAAAATGGCTGCAGAGAATGGTAAATTTAATGTGCCAGCTCATGGACCTGTGAGTCATGCAAACCCAAAAGATTGTCTTGTATAAACCACAATTTGGTTAACCATAGGTGTGCAGTGCAGTGTTGCTTATTTGTGTCCAGTTTCTAGGTTCCCCAATTCCAAAAATTACTGGGTGGTTTCTCAAAATTAAGTAACATAAGAATATTAACAATCTGAAGGAGCAATATACAGTACATTTCCACATCACAACTTGCCCAAAATATCCTAGAGGGAAAAAAAGTTTATAAAACTTTTTGAAAGCAGGCAGGGGGTGTGCATGTATATCTTGTATTCATGCATACATCCTTTGTTTCCACGTGCCCATTTTTTAACCTTCAATCCAGATCAAATTCCCTGGAAGACAACTTGGACAAAACTTATATATCAGTAGCCCCCAACCTTTTGAACACCAGGGACCGGTTCCGTGGAGAGAGATTTTTCCGCAGATCGAAGGGAGTGTGGTTTCGTGTGCTACCTGCATACCTCAGATGGGATTTTGCTTGTTTGCGCGGCCCGGTTTCTGGCTTGCCACAGATCAGTACCGGCTCCAAAGTAGCCAGTGCCAAAGAAGCCCTCCATCAAGGAACTGAATGAACACAGACCAGTTGCTCTAACATCTGTAGTTATGAAAATCTTTGAAAGGCTTGTGCTGTCCCTCCTGAAAACCATCACGGATCCACTGTTAGATCCCATGCAGTTTGCACACCGAGCAAATAGATCGACAGATGATGCTATTAACATGGCTCTGCATTACATCCTACAACACCTTGAATCTCCAAGGGTCCTCTTTGTAGATTTCAGTTCAGCATTCAATACCATCATTCCAGTAAATTAAACCAACTAGCGGTACCTGAACACACTTGTAAGTGGATCATAAGCTTCCTAACAGACAGGAAGCAGAAGGTGAAGCTAGGCGGAATCACATCCGATACCTGTACAATCAGCACAGGGGCCCCCCAAGGCTGTGTGCTATCTCCTCTTCTGCCTATATACCAATGACTGCATCTCAAACGATCCATCTGTTAAAATACTGAAGTTTGCTGATGACCCAACAGTGATTGGTCTCATTCGAGACAACGATAAATCTGCATACAGACAGGAGGTTATACAACTTGCCTCGTGGTGTAACCGGAACAATCTGGAACTGAACACACTCAAAACCATAGAAATGGTGGTAGACTTTAGAAGAAATCCTCCTATACTACCACCTCTTAAAATACTAGACAACCCAGTATCAACAGTAGAGACCTTCAAATTTCTAGGTTCTACTATATTACATGACCTAAAATGGATACTTAACATCAAAAACATCATCAAAAAAGCACAACAAAGAATGTTCTTTCCGCGCCAACTCAAAGCTCAAACTGCCCAAGGAGCTGCTGATACAGTTCTACAGAGGAATTATTGAGTCTGTCATCTGCACCTCTATAACTGGCTAGTTTGGTTCTGCAACCCAACAGGAGAGACACAGACTTCAGAGGATAATTAGGACTGCAAAAAAAACAATTACTACCACCTGCCTTCAATTGAGGACCTGTATACTGCACAAGTCAAAAAGAGGGCTGTGAAAATATTTACAGACTCCTCACATCCCGGACATAAACTGTTTCAACTCCTTCCCTCAAAACAACGCTATAGAGCACTTGCACACCAGAACATCTAGACACAAGAACAGTTTTTTCCCTGAAAGCCATCACTCTGCTAAACAAATAATTCCCTCAACACTGTTCAACTATTTACAAAGTGTACACTACTATTACTGTTAATCTTCTCACCATTCCTTATCACCCATCCCTCCCACTTGACTGTTTCCTAGT